ATTAATTAAAGCTTTATATCTATAGTGATATGTTAAATATGTTTATGAACTGATTAATTAAAAGCTTTATATGGTATTCATAAAAGCAACAATTATTCATTACAACAACAAAATCCATAACAAAAGCCAAATGAATATTGAATTGATCGAATTTTTTTTCTTTGCTAATAATTGTCAATGATGGGATCAAACGGTATGGTATGGTAATAAGCAAAACAGAATATTAATTTTGCACGTACTGTCCTACCACTGAGAAAGTTGCATTGTTGGAGAAGATTACTGAGTGGTTAGGGAATACGAGTTATCAGAAGACTCTTCTTTATATCGAGTAGTTTGCGCTGACATACCAAAGTGGTTAAACTACAATGATGATATCAGTATTTTATTATACCTTAGCTATTTTATGCATAAAATTTCAATTTGTGACAACCATTTCAATTTTACTGTATACAAATTGCTGCAAAATTTAAAATGGTTAATTTTTTCAGGAAATGGAAGTCAAATTTTCAATAATTTGTCAGATTGGTTCAAATCCACCAAATCCGGTAAACCTGAAAAATTTCTTGCGTCTTTTTTTCAAGTTTTGGACGACTATTTGCGAAGTGCCGCTCGTTTGATACGTTTATTTCTAATCTAACTTTTACTTATAGTACGATAAAATACAGTACATTTCTGTTATATATAGCCTAATTAGCAACTAACATTTAACTGTTACTATTATTACTATGAGAAATGATGGAAAAAAGGATAGGTGAAAGAGGAGGGTACATCTTATATATGCAATGAAAGTATCAGAACGCAATCAGTATGAGGACTAAAAACATTTCACTGAACCTTTTCATTAGTTGTTGGAACCAATATTCTTTTTTGGATTAACAATTTAATAATAAGATTGAAGAAAAGGAAGGATGAAGATGAAGACAAAAGAGAAGTGGAATTTCCGCGAGTGGTTTTGTTCCGTTGCTCAAGTCTTCCGCCACATTGGGATCAAGATCAATCGGAATTGCTCTATGAACTCCTGGAGCACGAGCGTAAAATGGAGCGTTAACGTCAGAATGATCATACGAGCCGTTTCTCAATAAGGAACATTGATACGGTACCAAGAGCGCCGGACGTAGAGAAGTGGAGGGAATTCGTGAAATTGCGCTATAAGTTTCACTTCAACAGTATTGCAAATATGATGTAAAATATTCGTTATGTAGTATAAAATGTTGAACTGAATTAATTTGTCAGCTTATTCTTAAAAATGCATAATATGAATCATTCAATGGTGACACTAACAATAGTCCTCTTTCACCTTTGTATTCATTAATTATTTGTACATTCATTTGAACTTCATAACATCGATTCTTTAGCATTTCTGCCTTTCGTTTGCCTGAAATTCATTGGTTTGCTTCAATAAGAAGAGCCTAAAATATCAATATACTAACCGCTGGGCCTGCTTCAATAAGAGCCTAACCAAATGTTTTGCAGCCAAATGTTTTCTATACAATCAATTATTCTCTTGGCTTGTTCAAAATTTGTTGTGAATAAATAAGAGAAAAATTTTATGAAGTAAGACATTTTCTCTCCCTTTTGCTATGAAATAGTGAAACGATGAAGCATGAATGGTGCGTATGTTGTGACAGACAGCTTGCCTACTAAGCCATTTTTCCATCTATTCTATCAGCAATACCCTATTTCACTTGTCCTACTATTAAAGTCCAACTTATCCATCTATCCATTCATCCATCCAACAACCATTCAATCAGCTAGCCAGCTAGCTAACCAACCATATTTCTACTTTGCCACAATCCTATCAATACAATGATTTTAGCTTTTCACTTCCTTTTACAAACAAAATTTACATTTCGTTTTTTATTCTTTTTTTTCTTTTTATAAATTTATATCACTTTTTTTTTCCATTACTTTGCCATATTTTTACTCAAAATTTCATTTCTTTTTTATATTTTTTTAAATTCTTTTTTTATTAATTTCTTCCTTTCCTTTTTCTCATTTCTTATTTATTCAAATAAATGATATAAACGAATCTCTTTTTTCTCCCTCTCTCTTTCTCTCTCTCTCTCTTTCCCTTTTTCCCCCTTTCAGCCTCTCTTAGCATTTCTGATTATTACTTCATTTTAGCAGAGATAGAAATTGTTGGATTCTATTTGTTTTTTTTTTATTTTTTATTTTTTTCTTTTTTTTTGAATTTCTTCATCTATGTTTCACCAATATTTCATCTTCCTTTTTTTCTTCCATTCTTCCCATTCATCTTTATTTCTTCTATTTGCCTTCCTTTTTTATCCATTTTTGGTAGATATATATATATATATTAATTTCTTAATCAAATCTAATTATTATTTTCGAAGAATATTCACTCATCTGTTCTAATCATTTCTTATAAAAAATTCTTCAATTCTTTTTTTTTCATTTTCTCTCTTTTTTCTTTTTTCTTTTTTTTTTTCTTCCATCTCTTTTTTTTCTTTTTCCATCCATACATTTTCTTTTTTGCCATTTTTAGTATCGAAATATTTGAAATATTTATTGATTAACTTTTATTTAATAACGAAATCATTGAAAATTTATTATAATTTTAACTTTTTATTTCCATATTTTTTTTTTGCAATTTTCGTCTTCATTTACAATTTTTCAAATAATAAACAAAATATTTGAATGATTTATTTATAAAATTTAAATATTTTAATTGTTTACAAAAAGAATGATAAATAATAAAAATAAATTTTTTAGCTTTTTTTTTGTAACATGGATTTCCGAGATATGATCACATGTGCAAATAATTCGAGCAAGCATTCCAGCCACAATTCAAAGGATAAATTGAGTAGCATCGATGATGATGATGATGATGTTGGCGGTGATGCTTCAAGTGATTGTGATAGTGTTGCTGATACGTATGACTTGTTGTTTTAAAATTTTGAAAAAATTTTTTGAATTATTTTGGAAAAGAAAAAAAGGAAAGCATTCATTTTGTGGATTTCAAAAAAAAAACAAGAAATTTTGATAGTTAATACATACTTAAATGTATTTTTGATTTATTTTAAAAATTTTTAAAGTAAAAAAGAAAAAATTTATTATTTATGCAAATCTTCTATTAGAACATGGTCATCAGAAGTAGATATGAGTTATCAACAAAGCAATTTTACAACACAATCGTTATTATTACATCAACAGTATGATGATAAAAATGATAAATCAACAATTACTTGTATCGGAAATGGTGATAGAGAAATAACATTATCACTATATAATAGTGATACGACGAAGGTTTTGTTTTATTTGTTCTTTTACAAATAATTATGTTTTATTTTTTTTTCTCGTTCTTTTCTTTTTAAGTAAAAAATTACGATTATATTTTTATGATTGTAATTAAAAGATTAATTTAAAAGAGGTTTTTAAAGAGTTTTTGAAAAATTAAAAGTTCTAATTTCGTAAAAAATTAAACGACTTTTTTTTTGTAATTAAAAAATGTGATAATATTAAATTAATGTAGTAATTTAATCATTCCATTTTTAATTAAACGTGAAATTTTTTTCTCAATCTAGGATGATGATTCGAATAGTGATAGTGATGAAGAATTTGCGATACATGCATGCTTACGAGGATTTATTAAATCAAAATCGATATCAACAATTCAAAAACATAATTATGCAGCACCTATATCATATGCTGGTTACTTTTTTTTTTTTAATTTTTAATTCCTCTAAATAAAACTAAAGTTATGTTTGGTTGAAGAAATGGTTTAAACAAATGTTAATTTAAGAGTTAACTTAAA